GGGTGACGTGCTCCATCGTCCCCGAGATGTACTCGGTCAAGCTGATCTGGTAGTTGGCCAACATCTTCAGCATCAGCCGCAGGTTCAGCCACCACTGCTCCTGGGGCAGCCTGTGCCTGCGCAGGGGGAAAACAGCTCTGGAGTGGCCCCGGGGACAAGCCGAGAAGGTCGGACAACAGCTCTGGAGTGGCCCCAGGGACAACCCGAGAAGGTCCCTCTGGGACCTGGCGAACCGCCGGGGCACGGGGACTTACTCAAAATCGGTGACTTTCTTGAGCTCCGTCACCGGGCTGAAGGCCACCACCTTCTTCCTCAGCCCGATCACACAGGCAGAGTCTCCCGAGTTGGCAAACACGCGTCCTGGGAAGGGGACACAACCGGCCGTGGCCACTGAGTAGCCAAGCCCAGAGCAGCAGAGGCTGGCGAGTGCCACCAGCCTCTTCCCACCCCACCACGGGACCCCCAGCCCTCGGCTCACCTTTGCGGTAGACCTCCTGCAGCTTCTCCGACATCCACAGCACCGCCTTCACTCCCAGCTTGGTCCCGTAGTTGCGGTCAAAGGGGGTCGGGGCTCCTCCCTGGGGACAAAGAAATGACGGCGTCGAACCCGCCCGGCTCTCAGGGACAGCGGTGGCCCACGTTGCCCTCACCCCTCTACCTGCTGGAGGTGGCCCAGGACGTTAATCCTGCAGTCGAAGATGCCTTTGCCCTCGGAGGAGTAGAGGTTGTAGAGGAACTCGGTGGTGTAGTGCTCGTGGCACTTCTCGTTGCTGGGGGAGCAGAGAGAAGAAGTGGGGGGGCTGCTCCTCGACCTGGCAGCCCCAGGGGGTCCCTCCATGCTCCCCTAACCACTTTTTTTGGCCAAGTTTTTCAGCGAGCGTCCCCAGGAGTCCCCAACTCACCGTAGCACCAGCCCTCTCTGGATATCCGTCTTCATTTTGTCGGTCAAGTGCTCCACGTTGGCCTGCAAGACAAAGGCCAGGATGCCAGCGGTGCCCCATGTCCTCTGCAGCCATCCCAGGTCCCTCTGGTCCTCTTGTTTGGACCCAAGTGCCACTAACATCACCCAGCAGCTTCACGGGGCTTGGCTGGATCCCTCCCTTTCCTGGTTTTCCTTCTTATT